AGCCATTACTCTAGTCTTTAGTGTCACATGATCCTTCAGAAATCACTCTAACATAATGATTTGCTGCTCAAGAAACTTTTGTAATTATCACAAAACAGTTGTGCCATTTTTGTGGAGAGTAGGATACATTTGACTAGGAAGTTCAATGGAACTGGTTTTTACTGACGCTGTTTTTTATGCATTCTTGCTGAAAAAAGTATGAATTTCTTTCAGAAAAATTCAAATGTTACAGACCCCAAACGTAACAGGTTTAAATGTAATTTTGTAATTAATGGAAATGCAAACCAAGATTTTCTTCATTTTGTGTAGAATTGCTTGTGTTACTTATTATTGTCATGGTTTGTTTGACAGGTACTCAGGCCCCAACACTGGTAATGTGCACATCATCGCTGACCTCTTCGCTGAGGTCATCGGAGTCCTCGCCCAATCCAAGTGAGTCCATCCCAAAACCACAAAGAGCTTACAGTGTACCTTCTTTGGTCTGTTGCACATTTTAAATATTTACCTTGACAAAAAATACTTGACAAAGTATAGGATGTACACTCACGAAGTGAGTTCAGTCATATCTGTGGCCTAAAAGTTGTTTTATTTTACGTAAAGTGTAAAGCACATCATTCAGATCTCCCATCAGAGTTAAAGCCCTCAAACCCCTGTCATTCTGTAACACTAACTCGCCTCGAGCTAAATACAGATGATATGTACAGTCTTCTGATGCTTTTAATGTTACTGTAATTCTCTGCTCGCCACGCGCTAAGACTCCCTCACAGCTACATGAAACTGTCTGTTTAAGCTATAATGTAATTTAGCCCTGTGCTGTAATAGTCAGGGCCTGAAATTGAATTACCACAGTGCTCAACCTCCCCTCCAGTTCATGATTTCCTGTGCGGAGCCACTTTGCCCCGAGGACAGTGTTTGAAGAGGCAGTTTTACATAATATGATAAAGGCATGATGCGCTAACTGTGGTCCTTGATTGTTTGGATCTAGCTGGTTTGCATTAATATAACAAGCTTTTGCTTTTGGGTTTTGTTTTTACTTAAGGGAAACTTTAAATCTTGAACTTGAACAATTATAATAATCCACTGATGTAACAAGCCAGTCTTTATTCAACCTATTATGTGACATGTTTAGTTTTGGTTGAAGGCTCCTACACACTTTTGTTGATAGAAACTCAACGCTGAATTTTTATCAGCTCTTGTGTGAATAGACTAGACACCTAATTTCAACATGTTAATTAATTTCTATTTATTTGTGTTTGTGTGCAGGTTTCAGGCAGTGCGTAAGAAGTTCATCACAGAGCTGAAGGAACTGAGGCTGAAGGAGCAAAGTCCTCATGTGGTGCAGAGCATCATCAGCCTCATCATGGGCATGAAGTTCTTCAGAGTCAAGATGTACCCCGTTGAGGACTTTGAGGCTTCTTTCCAGTTCATGCAGGTCGAGACACATGCCAACACAGACATGTACTGTATGTTCTTGTGGCTTTGTAATGAGCTGCTGAGGGTTGTTGTTATCCACTGAAAAGTTGTCTTCAAAGAGTTCAGAAACCCAAAAATGAAAATACTGTCATCATTTACTCACCTGCATGCTGTTCCAAACCTGCATGACTTTCATTCATCTTCATAATACAGATGAAGGTATTTTAATTGAAACTTTGACACTTTAAAATGTTCATGTAGACATAAATTAAAATAAATAAAATAAAATAAAT